GTCAGTTCTAAGAGATTTTGGCCAGTAAGCTGAAAGAGCAATCAAAGCCCAATTTTACTCCAGGCATGTTCAGGCTACTCCATGCAAATCAGAACCTCTAATCTAGAGACTATCTTGCAAGCCAACATACTGTTACCCACATCCCACCCACTCGGAGATATAGGCAATGTACTGACGCCTACTCCAGAGGCAACTGTTTTGTTTAAAAACTTCAAATTGGACAGCTGAGACCAGCAGCTCATCTCCCAACTCAAGAACAACGCAAGAGATCCTCTCCAAAGGATTGTGTAGATTAATTAATTGTAAATCCATTAATTGTGTAGATTAATTAATTGTAGATCCATCAATTGTCCCTTCATCCACAAAGCCTAGACTGCTGGATCTGAAATTCCTTGGTGAATCTGTCCCCAGAGGTCCCAGGACCCTTTTAAAAGCCACCCTAGTGAAACCTATTTCCATATAACTGTTTTGAAAGGTAAGCATATCTTCTTCCTCTTCTGTTGTTCTTGATGAAACTCAGGTTAAACAGGAGCAAAACAAGCTGCTTTATATTGAACCAGACCATTCGTCTGTCTGCCTCAAGCACTGGCTTCTTTAAAAATTATTTTTTCATCAGCCAAGGGCACTATGAGGCTGAACCGTAAGAGATGGCTGGACATTTTCACACAGTTAATCTGTTGGTTTAATTCTGAAGATCTACCACGGGAAACTTAAGTCACCTATTTTTCTTAATCCTCCATGAAAATGAATAAATTAAGAGAATGACACCATTACCACACCACGAAGTTTCCACAAGGTAAATTCTGAAGGGGCACAAAAATAGGGATTAGGACCTGATGTGGCTTTGCAAAAGTTCAGGGGATGGTTTTTCTTAGCGTACTTGAAGGATTTAGAAATGGCATCTTTGCATGATTCCTCCACAGAATGCTACTAATGTGCTTCGACTCATTTAGTAAGAAAAATGAGACACAAATAGAAATATGGAGTAACGTTAGGGGGAAAGCGGAGCATTCTGTAGCATCAGACAGCTGGTCCCTGAGCTGTTTCTCTTTGTACACAAACACACACAGAGCAATCAGTGATGTGTAAACGTGGGGAATTTCTCTGGCTGGAAAACGAACACAACCAAGTTCTGAATCCTACAGCAAGAGATAAAGGTTTTCAAATCTAGTTATTATTTTAACAGTATTCTTCCTAATGATATCTGCTTGTTTAAATGCCAAATATTAAATAGCAATAGAAATAATAGAAAGAGAAATGTTTGCATTTCTTCTGAAGATTGCATGTGTGTGTTGGGTGTGCATACATAGATACACATGAAAACCTTTATATCTATATGTGTGCATTAATGCATACATTATTCACAATGTTTAATTTATTTTCTTTTTCATTTGCTTTTGTCCCTTGTTTATTTTTCTCATTTTTTTCTTTTGGCCTTTCTGTTGTAGTCACCAGGACTCCAGGCTGACGAACAGCTATTTTATTTTGGGTTTGCTTGTTTTTTTCATTCAAAAAGCAAAAACCCCAAGCTGCAAAATTCAGAATATGAAGAAAGACCGTCTCAGATCTTCTGTAACATCTCTGTTTCCTTCCTGCATGCCTGCAGGCCACGGAATGAATGTTGGTGCTTCACACATTGCTTCAGTTGTGTTGCAAGATCTAGGATGGCTGTTGGATTCTGGGGTAGTCGTTCGGAGGACAAGAGCAAGATTCATAACCAAATGTTGCAAGGTACAGTACAAGCTAGACCCCAACCATGTTTTGGTACCTTCTCAATTCCATTTCCTCTTGTCCCTCCCAGTCCCCCACTTTTAAGAGACTTCAGGAGAAGGTCTGCAGAAATAATAATAATAATATCCATAATTCTTAGGCTCTTAGTTAGAAACTGAATCATTGAAAAATACCCAGTCTAAAGTCTGTGATATTTGTTGGATTAATGAATACTACTACCAATAATAATAATAATAATAATAATAATAATAATAATAATAATAATAATAATAATAGATTTGCATAATCAGGGGGGTTGGAATGATGACTGACTGGGTTGGGGGACAGAAAATCAGGGTGATGGCAATGGAATAGAGTCTCCTGGAAGAAGACAGAGCTGGCTGGTTGGAGCCTTAGGCAGACACCCTCAACATTTGGGTCCAGGTCACTTTTTCATCTTTAAAGCACAAGTTGGTTCCCCCATTTTTCAATTCCAAGATCTTCCTTCTCCCCACCAGCTGAGACATTCTAAAGTCATCACATGGAGGCTGAGGTCATTCAAAATGTCCCAACTTCTGCCAGAGTGGCAAATGTTCTGCCATTTCAGCAGTGGGGAAGACAGGAGAAGGGGGTGGATCAGAAATGGTGATCTTGGTGGATAACGTGTCCCAGGCATCTTCAGCTGAAAAGGTCCCCACAGAGCTGTTGGAGAAAAATTCCCGAGTTCCCTCAGCACCCTTCTCCCATCTCAATCACCCGAACCCAAGTTAGGTGATGAGGTTTAGATTCGTCCCTCTACTCATCAGGATGCAAAGTTAAGAAGTCTTCAAAGCCTTTATTAAGAGTTTGAAGAATGTGGTCAAGGACCTAAAGAACAAGTCTGGATTTGGCAGAGTTTCCTTGGGCAACACCCTGAGCACATGGTCAACAAGCTTGTGTAGACAGTTGGAATACCCGGAAATACACAGGAGAGAAACAGCACTGGCTGTTACAAGCTTCTAGTCCAGTGTTTCTCAATCTTGGCAGCTTTCAGATGGGTGGACTTCAACTCCCAGAATTCGCCAGCCAGCCCAGCACCTTTTACCAAGTTATCTTATCCAGCAGAACAAATTCTCATGCCTGTATGTTTTTCAAACATATATAAGATGTAGCCATTGTATCATACAGCAATGAATTATTTGGTTTTGTTATGCTGTATGGGTCTATCATTTGCTTTGTTTCCTGATATTTAGGAAGTCCACTAAACCAAACTTCTTTCAAAGAATTCATACTCCTTGGGTTCTCCAACCATCCCGAATTCCAGATATTCTTCTTCTCGATCTTCTTCATTGTTTACCTGGTGACCATGCTGGGGAATCTTTGCCTCATCCTGCTGGTTGTCTCTGACAGCCACCTCCAGACCCCCATGTACTTCCTTCTCAGCAACTTGTCCTTCATTGACCTTTGCTACGTGACTTCCACAATCCCACAAATGCTGGCAAACTTCCTTCGAGAGTCAAAGACCATCTCCTACACCGGCTGCATGGTCCAAATCTTCTCCCTAATTTCATGTGTAGGTTCAGAGTGCATCCTTCTAGCAGCAATGGCTTATGACAGGTATGTGGCCATATGCCATCCACTCCTATATCCAGTCATTATGAGCAGGAAAGTGTGCCTCCAAATGGTGTCTGGGTCATGGACGGGAGGGTTCCTGAACTCCCTCATCCACACTCTTCTGACATCAGCCTTGTCCTTCTGTGGACCTAAAGAGATCCGTCATTTCATGTGTGATGTTCCACCCCTCTTGGAGTTGTCCTGCACTGATACAACTCTTAATAACATTGTGCTCCATATGGCCAGTGTCTTCATTGGCATCAGCCCCGGCTGCTTTATTGTCATTTCCTATGGGTTCATAGCTTCTGCTATTCTGCAGATCCATTCAGCCAAGGGCAGGCACAAGACCTTCTCTACTTGTACGTCTCACCTCACAGTTGTGATCACCTTCTTTGGGACAGCTCTGTTTAACTACAACCGGCCCAATGTGGGCTATTCATTAGATGTGGACACCCTGGTGTCAGCTCTATACTGTGTGGTCACCCCCATGTTAAACCCAATCATATATAGCCTGCGGAACCAGGAAGTGAAGACAGCTCTGAAAAGAATGGCAAAGAGAAAGCAGGAGACGCTCTAAATCCAAGATATTTCCCACTCCAGAGGGAGCACCCAGTGCTCCTCACTGGTGTAGAAGAGTATGGAGGAGGCTCCGAAGAAGGAATTCAACAGCCGTTAAGTAAATACCAGCTTAGCTTTGGAAGGCACGAGCGAGTGAGGAAGAAACTCAAGATTGTCCCACTTTAATTCTCTTGGTGGAAGGAGAGAGGGCAGGGAGAGAATCTGTCTGGCTGTCAAGATTCTGTTATTATACCCTTTATCCATCAAGTAGAGTTCCCGTTGTCCTAGTGGAATCTGTTTTCTGATCTGGATGACCTCAAAGGGCCAATGCCTTCAAAAGACAGTTCTCCCCACATAGAAAGCTAACATGTCAGGAGAAAACTAGGGCTACCAGGCTGGGTTTGCAAACCTCTCAACAACCATTAGATGGCAGCAAAGCCTAGTGCTTTCGGCCTCTCTCTGCAGCCATCTGATGGCCTTCTGGGTGTTTTGCAGCTCAGATCTGGTAGCCCTGAGAGAATAAGGATAAAGAATAAAGAACTTATTCTTAGGGTGTGGTTTTCTGAGTGACGGTTGGTGAAATTGACCGAACTTGCTGAGATGGATAAACTGACTTCTTTGATTAGAGAAAGGTCACTGGTGACATTCATCGATGACGGGAAACCCCATATGGACTTTTTGCATAAAAAAGAAAACGATTTTGTGACATGGTTTTGATTAGACTTGTATGCATAACTGCTGAGAGGAAGACTGGAAGCTATTTCTTTATAATCTCTTTTCATGTTTTCTGTTCTTTTATTTTCTCTTTCTTTTTCTATCTCCTTTTCTCTCTGTCTCTTCTTTTGTCTTTCCCTTCTTTTATCTTTCACATTTGAACGTACTTTTATCTTTTTCTTTGAACGTACTGATTATATATGTAAAATCTTTTAATAAAAAACTACTAAAAAAAAAGACCTGTGGACTTCAACTCCCAGAATTCCCCAGCCAGCGTGTTTCAAGGGATTTCCCATTCAAGCCCTGCAGTTCCCCTCGTTGGCCACCAGAGGGCAAAGCCAACCGCCACGTCGCTTTCCTTCGCCCGGCCTTGAGAAGGGACACGTTCGCTGAGCCTCATGTGATCTCGGGTCATGTGACCCACTCTTCGGCCTAATATGGCGGCCCCCATGAACTGCCTGCCGCGCTCCTCGGGCCAGGGGCCGCGAGGTCTTGCCCTGGCCGCGTTTTTGGGGGGGCTGTTTCACTGCCTTTGGGGAGTCCGCGGCAGCGCGGGAGCCTGGTAAGGACGCCCAGCCGGGGGAGAGGAAAGGGTGCCCACCTAGCAGGGCTGGCCGGGTTTGCTGCTGCTCCTCTTCCGCCTTATGCCGCCGGCATGTAAATTTATCTTTTCGTGCTGAAAAATGAGGCCACGTGAGCCCCGTCCTCATCTTTCTAAGGGTGTAATTAAAAAAAAAAAATCTTTTTCAGGGAGGAAATCCTTTGCCCAGCAGAGAAATGCCTGAGCTGCAATAGTTATTTTGAATGTGATCTTCGTGGTGTGTATATAGATGTGTGTGTATATATATAGATGTGTATGTGTATATGCCTGAGCTAAAATAGTTATTTTGAATGTGGTATTTGTTTTGTGTGTGAATG